TTTCTTTTTTAAAAATTTTTTAGCACCAAGTACATTTATCAGAAAGAAAAAGACATGAAATAGCCCCATATCTTTCATTGAGAAATCAAAAATAAAAGAAAATAAACCAAAATGAATAGAAAATAATAAAGATCAGAAAACACAATCGCTTATCAAACTGCCAACATCATTTTTATAAAGATTAATGTTTTGATTCTTACGTTGCTGTAAAAATAGAAAGAATAGTCTAAAACATTTGATAAAGGAACAGAATTAGAGCTCCAACCCTCCTCAGTCCCAGGACATCACAAAGTTATACCAATCATGACAAAATAGCATTGATATCAAGTTGACAGACAACCAAAGTACCTAAATAAGGTCCCAAAATAGATACCCACATAACAGACAATTGATTTCTGGCAAAGATGCAGAAGCAATTAAGTAGAGAAAGGATTGTACCTTCAATAAATATACTGGAACAACTAGATATCCACATGCAAAAAACCCAACCTTGTAGCACATCAAAAATTTAAGACATCCAAAAGGCAACTCAAAATGGCTTACAGTGAGTTAGTTAAAATAAAGGCAGGTGTGGCCTGAGTCATTGCTTGACTGAAAGTTATTCTCTCTGGGACAAAATACATATTTTTTCTTTATCATACTGAAACAATATGATGTTTATATATGTGTGACATATTTATTTCACTAGTATGTTTGCAAAGTACATGCATTTACCTATAAAAATGTCCAGTTTATCATTCTTTGTGGCTGAATAATATTCCACTATAGAGAAATATCACATCTTTTTTATCCATTCCTCAGTTGATAGATATTTATGTTTTCAAGATCTGGCTATTATAAACTGTGCTGCTATAAAGATGGGTGCACATATATCACTGTGCTATGATGTTTTTAATTCTTTTGGGAAGATACCCAGAAGAGGAATAGCTAGTTCAAATTGGACCTATGGTCCTAGTTTTTTGGGGAATCTTCTGTGTACTCACTTGATTTCTATAGTGGATGTACCAGTCTGCAATCCCACCAACAATGGAGAAGGGTTTCTTTTTCCCCACAGCCCCTCCAGCATTTGTTATGTTGATTTCTTAATACTAGCCATTCTTTCTGGGGTAAGTTGAAATCTCAGTGTTATTTTCATTTGCATCTCTTGAGTGACCAGTGCTGCTGAACATTTTTTCATGTATTTATTTGCTGTTTATAATTTTTCATCTGAGAAGTCTGTGTTAATCTCAGATGCCCATTTTTTGATTGGGTCTTTAAATATGAGAGGACTGATTTTTTTTTTTGAGTTCTTTATAAATTCTTGATAGTAATAGAGGAACAGTTGGGAAGCATTTTCTCATGCATAGTAGCTTGCCTTTTTCACTCTGTTGGTGTTTTCTCTTGCTGTGCAAACAGATTCAGTATGATGAGACCCCATTTGTTGATTCTTCACTATAAGTCCTGTGCACTGTGGATATTATTCATAAAGTCTTTGCCTGTACCAGTAACTTCAAGAGGTTTATCAACTCTATCTTCCAGCACATTTAATGTTTCTGCAAAATGGATTACGATCTTTAATCCATTCTGATTTTAGCCTAGTATATGGTGAAAGACATGGGTCCAGTTTTAATCTTTGGCATATGGAAAGCCAGTTTTTCCAACACTATTTATTAAAGAGACTCTCTTCCAGTGAATGTGTTTGGCACCTTTGTCAAAGATAAGGTGACATAGTGTTTCTACACAGTTATTTCTGTATCTTCTAATCTATTGATCTTCAGGTCTGTTGTTTTGTTTTTGTTGTTGTTGCCAGTACCACACTGTTTTTAATCACAATAACTTTATAGTATAATTTCAAGTCAGGGATTGTGATGTACCCTGTCTTGTCTTTGTTGCCCAGGATCACTTTTGCTGTTCTAGGTCTCTTCTGGTTCCAGATGAATTTTAGGATTGTTTTCTGTAATTCTGTAAGATATGCTTTTAGAATTTTGATTGGTATTGCATTGAACCAGTATAATAGTTTTAGAAGTATAGCCATTTCCACTATATTGGTGCTTCCTACCCAAGAGCATGAGATATCTCTCCATTTTCTAATATCCTCATTAATCTCCTTTTTCAGAGTAATATAGTTTTCAATGTAGAGGTCTTTTACATCTATCATTAGATTGACTCCTAGGTATTTCTTTTCTTTTCTTTTTTTTTTTTTTTTTTTTTTTTGTCTCTATTGAAAAAGGTATTGTTTCCCTGATTTCTCTTGCAGTGAGTTTGTTACTTGTACACAAAGGCTGTTGATTTTTGAGTGTTGACTTTATAACCAGGTGCATTACTAAATTTGCTTATTAAATCTAGGCATTTTGGGGGGGTATCTTTAGGGTCTTCTATGTAGAGTATCATGTCATCTGCAAATAATGATAATTTAACTTTTTTCCTTTCCTATCTTTATTCCTTTTATTTCTTTCTCTTCTCTAATTGTTCTGGCTAAAGTTTCCAGGACTGTGCTGAACAGGAGTGGAGACAATGAACATCCTTGTCTTCTTCCTGATTTTAGAGTGAAAGCTTTCAGTTTTTGTCCATTTAGTTTGATAGTGCTGTTGGTTTGTCTTAGATCGGCTTTTACCAGATTGAGATAAATACCATCTCTTCTAGCTTTTTGTAGGGTTTTTATCATGAATGGTTGCTGGACTTTATCAAAAGCTATTTCTGCATCAATTGCAATAATCAAATGATTTTTCTCTGGCCAATTGCACCCTCACACAGGAGAACCAAGTCCTCGGTACTCACCACCAGCCAGCACAGTCCTCCATGTCTCCTGCTATCCTCCATTGCTGAACCTTTCCATAGAGGCCTACCAGGTTGCTGGCCACCACTGTCACTGTGAGCACGCCCCCAGGTTCCAACAGCTCCCCTCAAGCAATGAATCCAGCTCTGGGGGAAGGCACTGTTAGCTACTGCCTCCTCTTTCATTGAAGTTTTTCTTTTTACTCTCTCTGTGGGCTTTGAATCACACTTCAGACTCTTTTTGGGTCGTGCGGACCCACTTCCTTCTTGTTTTCATAGTTGTATATTCCCATGTCTAGATGGTGTCTCTCAGAGAGGCTGTTTTCTCTACTGCTTACTAATCCACCATCTTCCTAGGAGCCAGAACCTTTTTTTTTTTTTAAGTTGTGAGTATTGGATATTTTGTCCCATTAACAAGAAAACTACTAAGATACCTATCATCATCCTTTGCCTGAGCTGCTTCTGATGGCATTTGTTACTGAGAACAGGAGGAGAGGCTGCTGCACTTTGTAAGATATGTGAAAAACATAGCGCTTGTGTAACCGTACAGTGTACCTTTCACAATAGTTTGTTTTTAGAGTTACTGTTATATGTGAGTTTTGTATTAGGCATTTCAATCCCTACTCCCTAAGGTCAGGTTCTGCAGGCAGCTGTTAAAAGCAGTACTTTTCAGGTTGCATATATGTATTGACAAAATTAAGTATACCTACAAATAACTTTTCAGCTATTAATTTCCATGTACAAGTCAAACTATACTTATTCTCTTAAAAGGTATGAGGAGGGCATACCTCAGTAGGGTTCCCCCCCCCCCCTTTTTGGTAATCATACAGGATTTTTATGTGAATGGGCAAACACCTGAAACTAGAAAATCAATTATCTGGCCTATACCAACTCTGGCATCATCCTTTCTTTGTATTTCAACTAATAGGTTTTAAAATACCCAAATGATAAGGATTATTCTTTCTCTAATAAAAACTACTATAATCTTATACATTTTCTGGGGAATATTTTTACATATATTATTTTTTCCTTGAAGAAAAAAAGACTTTATCCTTTTACAATTATATTGTCTTTTACCACTTTGATAATTACTCAACTCAGAGTACTCCTTCTAGAAACAAATGACATATTTTACTGCAAGGGAGGAAAAATAACAACAGCTATTTTGGGGCTGCTAGGACAAAACTTTATTCTAAAGTGCTTTGGGAAATCTCGCATTTTAAGAGATAAACTATGTCTATGAAATTGAGATTTGTTTTATATGGTTAGAGAAATTTTAGGTTTTCCAGAGGTGAAGAAACTGAGCAGTACTTGGAGAAGTGGTTGAAAACAAGCTTTATTATGCTTGCAGACCCAAAGGAGTTTGGCACTCCAAAGTCTGAAGCCCCAGTGTGGGTTATTAGAGCCTTGTATAGGGCCTGTGGCGAGAAAAGGCAAGCAAGCTAAGGTACAGAAGCGGAACAAAGGCAGTTCCTTAAAGGTTAATAGCTGGGCACATCTGGGTGGCCTTGGCCAGCTATAGAGCCAGCAAAATACAGTGAAGCTATTTGCTTATCAGACCAGAGTATGGGAAAAAGAGGAGATTGTCAGCAGGGGGCATCAGAGTTGAAAAGTTTCCTTTTCCTCAACAATATATAAATGTAAATCTTTAGGAAATCTTTCCTAAATGTGTTGGAAGAAGAATTAAATTGCTTTTGTGACATTTGCCTAGAAGTATAGCCCTCTTAAATCCAGTTTGCCTTTTTAGTTTGTGTTGTTCAATATTTATTGACAATATTTTATGGACACATTGATGTTAATATTGTTTGGTCAATTTTTCATGCTTGTATCTTGTACTTTGCCAATTACTTCAAAGATAACAATATACAATGTATTAACCATTGTTACTTTCCTATTAATCTTGTTTTAAAATTTTGTTTCATCGTTTTTTCTCTTTAAAATACAAAAAAAAACATATTTTATGTACGTTTTTATACAAAGTTATGTGTGTGAAAGTTCAAACATAGCACAAAAATAGAATTCAATTAGTAGTCTAGGCTTCTTCTTAAATTTCTATTTTATCCTGTTTATATTTTGTTGGTGATGGCAGTGGCAGGTTTTTGTTTTTTGCTATTTCCTTTATTTTATCTAGATTTGAAAGGAGGTTATGTTTCTTTAAAATAGTCCAGATCATTGAGAATTTGGGGGGATTTTATTTGAATATATATATATATATAAAATTTTTTTTTTTTTTTTGCTTCATTTAGGAAGAAGAATTAGAAGCCCAAATTTCCTTCCTTCAAGGACAGTTGAATGATCTGGATGCCATGTGCAAATACTGCGCTAAGGTGATGGACAGTCATCTTGGTGAGTGAGCTACACTGGTCCTGGGAAAGAATGGTTTTAACAATAATATCTGGTAGCATTACTGTGTGCTGTCCTGCACTGAGCTCTTGACATTGCCAGCACTATAATAGAAGTACTGTTACTATCTACATTATACAGTTGAGGAAACAGAAGCCCACAGACTAGTAAAATTCCCCAAGGTCACACCATTATTGAATGAAGTGGCAATTCAAATTCAAGCAATTGTAGATTTCAGTTCCCAGCTGCTACAGTGCCTTTTGTAAATGTCTGTCTGCCTCTAACCAAAGTGAAATGTTGAAATTTCAAGATTAATCAATCAGGAAATTTGCTGTGATAGCCTGTCTATAATCACTGATACAATTATTTTGACAATGATTTTTAAAAATTTTTTAAAATATAAATATAATTTTTTATATTTTATTATATTTTTATATTTTTATATAAATATAATTTTTTTTATCATCTGCCATAAATTCAGGACCTTTTCTTACTTCTCACTGTGCTCTTAAAGAATGTTCTAGTTTGAAGTTCATGTATACATGCATACATAGGTCACATTAGAAAATCTTAGGCACTACTCTACCTTTGTAAAGATTCCATGTTTTATATTAGAAACAGTCTCTGCCAGATCATGTTGTATTGCCTCTAGTATTGTGTGCTGCTTGCAAAAGGGTTAGGGCTTTGTTGGTATATTGTTATACCTTTTCAATACAGATGGGAGATACATACTTCAATGTCTAGCTATATGTAGTTTGGGAACAAATTAAGAGATATAAAATATATATTCTTATTCAATATGCAGCACCAGGAGTGTGGAGAAATGGTAGTATCAGGTATTGTAGGAAACTAGGATGCATACTACCTCTGAGGTAAAAATCATGGTGAATCCAGCAAGGCCCTTCCCACTGCAGAGCCTCTGGAAGTAGCCCTTTTCTGGAGTCTTCACTGGAGATAACTTTCTGACACATTAAGCCATCTTTCAGCCTGGTAGGTCAGTAATCAATTACAAGTGACCAAAATGGCTTCATCTGGAGGTAGATGAAACTGTGGAAACCTTAAGCAAGTAATAAACATTCTCCTAAGGATTTGGAAAGATGTAATTTAACTGACTGGCTGCCTCTCACTAGTTGGGTTCTGTTTTACCCTTAGCTTTATTTCTACTGTCTCAGCCACTCTGTCAGGAAAAGGGTTCAAGAGAAGGAAATGGCAGAAGAAACCCTGATAGATTATCAACAGGATATCTCAAATCACAGCACAAAATTTTACCACCATCATATCTGATTCCACTCCCTTCTAAATTCTCATTATTTATATGTAAATAGCCACTTTAAAAATACATATAGGACTTGGAAATTAAAAATGCATATAGGAGTAAGTTTTATGAATTTCTTAATCTCTAATATTATTACATTTTAAAATGCATCAAAAATGGTTTAATGTAAATGACACTTACATAACTAATTTGGTTGTTCAATTTTAATTTTAAAAAGAGAATATGTATGTGCATGTGCATGCGCATGTGTGCATGTGTTTCTACTTTTCTGGCTATTGGGTGACCTTTGCATTATTTGATTTTTGGCTTCATCCAAAGTAGAGAGCAAGTGATTGGAGGAAGGATTACTGGAATTTTAGAAAATCCTGTTAGGAAATTACCAAATTGTTTGGTTTACAGCAGCAACTTTTAACACAGCTTTACTTAAGTTCAGAATTTTCAAGCAGCTTTGCTCTGATTTTGGTCTTTGAATCAGCACTAAAAGAGCATTTTCTCATTGCGTGGGGAGGGGGAAAATACTTGAATTAAGTAAAGGGTATACTAGCTGTGAATCTTCAACTGAAAAATTAGATGTTTTTATATATACATTTCACATTCAACCAAAATCCATTCACATAATTGTCAACTTTTTCCCAAATAAATAGCATGACTGCATTTTTAAAATGGAATTGAGGGATGCTAGAAAGAATCCCAAGCCCCAAAGCCCACAGACATGTTTCAGTTTATCTGAGTAATTTAATAGTGACTTAAATATTGCTCCTACTTGGTAGGCAATTTTGATTCTAAAGAAATATTTGAGGAAAACAGCAAGATTGATTCACATGAAGCTGTTGATTTACTTTTTGACTTATGCTTTCTTAAAAATGATTTCAGTATCTAGTATTTTCCTATGTGATGTTTTTGTACTTCTGATTATTAAAGTGGAACAAAATTGGAATATCTGACATAGCCATTAGTGAGGAATTTGCTATAACATAGTAATGCAGTCATTATAAGAGTTATCATACTTTTTTAATACAAGGAACTGTTCATCATACCTTAAATGTTTTTAAAAACAAGTGTCCAAATAGTATTTATTTAATGTGAAAATAACCACTAACAGCAGTTGTCTTTGTGAAAGGAAGATTATAGAGGAACTTCCCAAGAAACCTAATATTTTATGCATAGAAAATGTAAGACATTTGCTTAAATTTATGGATAGTTTAAGTGCATATGAATAGCTCTCAGGGATCAATCTGTACAGAGCAAGAAAGAGGCAGTTGTAAGAGCTATGGAGTAGTATCTGAGAAGAAATTACCTCATGAGAAATCAAATGGACCGACATGGAATCTAGGCTCTGTCACATAGCATAGGTAGCTTATGAATGTGTTCTCATTTGTGAAATGGAGATAAGAATGTTTCTCCTGCCAATATTTTTTCAAAATATATTTTTAAATTTTAGTACCAGGCTTGGCCTAAAGAGCATAGTCAATGGGAATCATCTCTTTTCTCTTAATTTCTTCTTAGAAACAAACCTGAGGCTTACCCAGTCCATGGCCATACAGCTCAGTACTGAAGCTTCACAAGAAGTTAGTTGAAGAACTAGAACCAGTACAACATATTCATTCCCTTATCAAAATGCTGCAGTTTGACATGTTGATCCTAAGATTAGTTGTATAAGATCTTAGCACAAGTGTAACCCTAATCACATCCCTTTGTGACATGGAGACTATTAATCCTCCAAGTACACTGGGCCTCAGTCTACTAACATAGCTGTGAGAACTGTCTCAGGCTGATTGGAGGAGTTATTTCTCTTCATCCTTATATTTTTATCAGATATGCAGTAATAGCTTAAAACATCGGGTACTAGTCAAGACTTTTTGTAACTGATTAGAACAAATACAGAGGAAAAACCTCTCAAATATAATAGTGTTTGTTCAAGTGACCCTTTAGTTATACAGATAATAAGATTGGCAGACTGAGTATTTCTTCATGGCTGTAGAACTCAAACTGAACCGGTATTTGTTTTGCAAGCCTCTACCAAAATTCTAATTTTATTACTACCAAGTAATCCAAAGGTTTAGAGACTAGAATTGAAAGTTAGTGTTTTGTTAAATCTAAACTTTTTCTATCAACTTTAGAAGACTTTTTTATGTGTTCATCTTTCTGTTATTATAGTTACTCACCCTTCTTTTCATCCTGACAGTTCAGTTGAATGTCACTGACAATATTAACTTTGTGACAGATCAGGCTATTCTTGGATTCTTCCAGACTTCACTCATAATTGCATGTGGGTGAGCATCCTATACTTGTCTGATCTATGAGCAGCTGGGCCACATGACAAACTGTTTACAGAAAGTACTTAAGCTGCTCACCCTGCTGGGCTTTCATGCCCACACCAGTCTGGTTGGAATTGAGATATTTCTATCAGTTGTCTGATATTTAGACACTTAAGTTAACAGCAGCTTGTCTTTTCACTGATGGTCTATAAATACAATGGAAGGATTAAATGCAATGAATAAAGAAATAAGTGATAACAAAAATATGTTTTTGTGAGGAGTACTGTAGCTTATAGGATTTTAGAATATTAAAAATGGAAAGACCCTAAAAGACATATCAGAAAATCTGTATTTCATAGATAAGAAAGCCTAAGCTAGCTAGCAAGATGAATGACATGGCTAGCTAGCAAAAAGTGTTCAGACCCAAGTTAGTCTAGGGTTTCTCTTTCACAGATGATAGTATTCATGGAGATGCTTGCTGGGATAGTAAGGTATGTGGCCACACAGAAATAAAAGCAGTGAGTCCTGACCTTCTGCGTTGGGCCAAGTGCTGTGCTGGCAATTCCTTGGGCTGTCTCCTCGAATATAGCCACCCTATGGGGAAGGAAGCACTTTTCCTGCCTTGCAGACACAAGGATAACCAATGCTCTACCCAGCTCTACTTCCATTATAGATAGATATAAGTTCTACTCCTGCCCATTTTCATCACCCCTGACAAGGCTTGTGCTATCTTTTATACCAGCCACTTAAAACATTTAAAAAAAAATATTTTTTTATTCTAGCTCTGAAAAAAATATAAAGTTAAAAAATTAAAAATGTAGTTGTGCTATTTCTATTACCTTTAAAAAGCTAAAGATCTTTTCTTGTGGCTTTCATATTTCATTAAAAATAGCAGATTCACCATGACGTAGTTATGTGGTTAAGATTTTTATGACTAATTTCTTCAGATGTAGATAATTATGTGACTTTTTTTCCCTTTAGTTTTCAGTGCTCCAGCAATTCTGATCTATAATACTTTAGTGTCAGGAGATAATAAAACTGCAATCTTCTACACAGAAACAAACAAACAAACAAAACACAGAGCCTTCATTATATAATTTATTCTACCTTTTTCTGTGATGTCATGCATTATGTTGAAAATTTAAACAGTTTGCATTTCTGCCTTTACTATTTTAAGACATGAAAAGATTTTTTAATGCAGATAAAGTTACATAAAACAGTAGGCTTGTTACTAGAAAGCTATATATTAGTAGTGTTTATAATGCTACCTTAAATCAGTATATTGTGTGACTAGTTAGAGAAATGATTTAATGTTAAGTACTCATGGTAAAATGAAAATTCTTGTATTGGAAACATTTAACAGCCTCTAAACATTCCCTTTTGGTTTAATTTGGATTTCTTTGTCCTGGTTTTTGTTTTGTTTGGTTTGGTTTGATTTGGTTTGGTTTTTTGGGAGACAAGTCAGTGCAATTAAAACAAAAGTGTACTCTTAAACATTTTATGTATGTATCAGTTTTCAGAGAGAAGCTCCAGGCTTTTATCCAGTCCTAAAAAGTGATCTTTGATACTATAAAGAATGCCAACAGAGACCAGCCAAGACCACTGAGCTTGTGTAAAGGCCACATGACATAGACTTTATTGTGTCTGGGTGCAGGCAGAAAGAGGGTGAAAAAACCCTCTGTAGGGAACAAAGAGAAGCAGGCTTTTTTATATAGGGTTGGAAAGAAGACAAGGGACATTAGGCAGGAAGATTTGAATAAACCTCAGTGATCAAAGTTGTCTGAATGTTTCATACCTCATGGGCAAAGTCTTGGGGATCTGGTGTAAATTCTTTGGAGTTTTTAGATATCCAGGTGCTTGAGCTGAAAACAGTGTTTCTGCTGGTAGACAAGTTGGGTACGGCAGAGTCATATCAGAATCAAGCCTTACGTATCAAAACATCATTTAAATAATTGCCAGATGACAGTACACAGCTGCTAAACCCCAAGGCCCTGGATTCTTCTGTCCCTGGTATGCCCTTCTACTCTAGGCCTTGTGAAAGATAGCACATCATGATAGCAAGAGCCAGGCATTAATGTTCTACTTGCAGGAAACAATTGCTGGGGTACCTTGTCTTTCACTGGAGGATTCCTATGGCTTTTACCCTATTTAATAACCGGGCAGTTTGGGTGTTGCCATGAGTTGAATATTATGTGTCAAAATTTCATATACAACCAGAACCTGTGATGTGATCTTATTTGGAAAAAGGGACTTTACAGATAGATCCCCATGAAGACTATCCCTCCAGGATTGTGGAGGGTAATGGCCATTTGTAGTGCATCACTGTGCAACTAAATGGGATGCCAAGCCTGAGAATCTGGACACAGAAACAGCTCCTGTTTATATATTGGGTTAAAGTATGCCAACTCCATGGGCCTCAGCATCTAAGGATTTCCACTGGTGTCTTTTGTCCTTTTGTTTTTCTGTTATCTTGAAATGGTAACATCATTTATTCTTACAAACCCCTTATAGACAATTTTTATATTAGTTTGAGTCATGTGAGAGAAACTAGCCTTTACAGAAGAGAACTAACACCATTGAACTATTAGGCAGTGTAAGAAGCTTGAGCTACAAAACCTTCCTCCTTGAGATTGAATGAATGCTCCTTGCTATTGGCCACATCACTCATTAGCAAATAGTTTCTCACTAAAAGTAAAGACATATATGTTATGATTTAAGCATATCTCTGCAATGTTGAGTGGAAGGCTACATACTCTGGTATGATTAGTGCTGCCTTCCCTACTTCCCATGTGCAGTTTATAGAGAGAGCACTCTTGATGTGATAGTTACTATGAAATTTGGCAGAAAAATTCCCAAGCTTGTCTAAAGTTTTGGTGTGACATGTAAGTTATACTCAGAGCATTTGTTATAAAATGTCATTCTATTTTCAGTAAATATTCAAGATGTGATTTTACAAGAAAATTTGGAAAAAGAAGACCAAATTCTAGTGTCCCTGGCAGGATTAAAACAGGTATGTGCATTACTCTAACATTATATGTCTTGGAGGCCACCCATTTGGTGTCTCCTCTGGGTCAGGCCCCTTAGAAGATGTGTACTATGATACTACAACCAGTGTCCCTTTGCTCTTCATTATCCTCCTAGGCAGAGCCCCTCCCAAATCTCTGCTTATTTTTTCCCCTTGCTCCTTCTCATAATTATATCTGACTAGCTTTTAGCCCAAATGAGTTTTATATTTCTCATTTTCCCCTTCCTCTTACCAAACCCCATTCTCTTTATTACTTATCAAGACCTATTGTGGTATGTCTCAATCATGTTCAGTCATTCATTCATTGACAGATACATGTGTATCCTTAAAGTACAGGTCATAATCACTACCCATAGCAGGTCTAAAAGCCTCAAACACCAAAATTACCTAAACCCTGTAGGTCTAAATAGGTCACACAAATATCAGTGAGAAGGAGTATACTTTTCCCAAAATGTCTGCCTGTGTGATGGATAGCTCCAGTTTAGTAGATAAGGCTGGTGGATCCAGTTTAGTAGATAAGGCTGCTAACTTGGGCTGCCTTTTAGAATACTGGTGCTTGCTTCTTTAAGGTAACTGCCAGGGATATGATGCCCATGTTTGACCATGGGAGAACCTGACCATTAACACCTTGAAATTTTCGTTGGTCATTGCTAAGTCCTTAGCCTTGATAAAAACAGTGGGAGGGGTTGTCCATTATTTCTTATAGTAAATTATGGTAATTATATTTGTACAGTAGTATTCCCACCTTATCTACAAAGCATAGATTTCACAGCCCCTAATGCATGTCTAAAACTATGGATAGGACTCTGTGTATTATATCTTTCCTATATGTAAACCTAGAATAAGCTTTAATTTATAAATTGGGCATAGTAATAAAATAACAATAGAATGATTTTAACATCGAACTGTAATAAAAGTTTTGTAAATGTGGTCTCAAAAATTCTTATTATATTTAATTTGCCTGCCTTGTGATGGTATAAGATGGATGAATGACTACTTGAAAAGATGAAATGAGATGAATGACATAGGCATGTATGTAGTGTTCGGCCACTACACACAGGTGACCTTAACACAAATACAGTGATATTGTGACACTTGATATGATAACTAGGACTATAGCATTTATAGCATGGATACTGTGGACAAAGGAATTGCAGGTAGGTTGAAATGGGACAGCAAAAGGTTTCATCATGCCACTCAGGATGGTACATAACTCTTTTATTTCCAGAATTGAAATAATTGATTTCAAGAATTTTCCCTTTGATATTTTTTTAACTGCATTGGACCGCAAAGAGCTTAAACAATGAATAAAGGGAAACTTATGATTCTTAGAATGTATGATTCAGCCAGCATTAAAACACAAACTCCTCTATCTTTTATTTATTGTCTTCTATTTTGAAAAAATAGATCAAAGATATTCTAAAAGGTTCCCTGCGTTTCAACCAAAGCCAGCTGGAGGCTGAGGAGAATGAACAGATTACAATCGCAGATGACCACTATTGTTCCAGTGGCCAGGGACACAACAACCAATTTCCAGTGGTCACCAAACAGGTATAGTAGTCCTGATGGAGTATTACATAAACTCAGTCAGAGCCCACTGACATAAGTTCTTCAAAGTTATAAATGAGAAAAGCCATACCAGACTACTTCAGATCATCATGTGGGAAGTTCAATTGTGAAATACCATAGGTAGCCCAAGCCCAGGGTTCTGTGTCCAGCTGTACAGGTTATGCACTCTAGTGTGGGAAGCTGGTGCTAATCACAATGGTAATGATGAGACTAAGGCATCCTTGATTTGTAACCTATAACCCTGTGTGCAGCAGCATTGGTCTGAGCCACTTACCATTCTCATTTTGTGAAATTCAAAGCTAGATCTCTGCATAGTTATTAATCAGTTGGTCCCAACTTGTGTCTTCCTCCCTTTAGCACAAGCAGCACTATCCATGCTTTCCTAGTTCCTAATGCTGTCTTCAGTGGATTTCACTTGGTTTGAACACTTTTTTTTTTTTTTTTTTTTGGCCAATGTTACTTTCTTGCCTTCATGGAAAAGAATTGCTAATTAATGTCCATCCTCTAAGGCAAGGGTCAGTAAACTTTTCCTATGAAGAACCAGCTAATAAATGTTTCAGAATTTGCAGGCCACATATGGTTATCCCTGTCTTTGTTGCTCTTCAGTCACTGAGACAAAATACACAACACCTACAAATGAAAGGAGAGATTTATCTGGCTCACAGGTTTCCTGTGAGTTCAGTCCAAATTCAGCTGGCTCTAAGGCAGAAACAGCACGATGAAAGGGCCTGGCAGTGTGTGACAAGGCTAAAAGAGTATTTGTTTTCTACCTATATTTTAAACTCCTAATTTTAAAAAATAAACTTGCAATGTTTCATCTAAAGAAATGAACTTTAGTTTTTAAGTTTTAAGGATATTCCTAAAGAAAGCAAGGATATTCCTGAAGAAGACAGAACTTTGTTTAGCCTCTTTATAAAGCTGTTAAAAATTGTCATGAAGCTATGGGTCTGCATTTTTAGCCACACAGATACAACATAGACATTGCAAGTTTTAATTTGAGTAGTTCTTCCAAATTCTGTTTGCCTGAACAGATGTTTTCTTTTTAATAATCACTTATTTATTCAAGTATTGTTGAGCGTAGATCCACTCATCAGATATTTTTAATTGGGCCTTTTAAAGCTTTAACATGATTTTTTTAGTTGAATATGTAAAAATACTACAGAAAAAGAACTTTTGAAAACATTGATAAATTTAAAATTTTAAAATATTTTGACCTCCTGGGTATGATTTTTTTGTTGTTCTTTTTTTGGTTTTTTGAGACAGTGCCTCACTATGGAGTTCATACTGGCCTTGAGCTCACTATGTAACCCAAGTTAGCCTCCGAATTCACAGTGATTCTATTGCTGTAGATTCTAGACTGCTGGGATTCCAGATGTGCACCACCATGTCCGAGCCAACTTCCTGGTTTTCGTATGTATATGAGCCTAAAACTGAATAGTGGACCCCTTCCTAACCTCTGTAGATCAGTAAGCATGACTAGAAGATAATGAAGAAAAGTTTATTACTTGAAGCAAATAAAGAGATAACTGCATTGGATATGACTCTCAAAAGCTGTGTCTCTCCAAAAGAAGGGAATTTTATACGGAGACATATATATTCATATTGGAAAGACATGTCACATGTAGAAATGGAAAAACAGTTAGAAATCTTGCTTCTTCATACATTGCATTTTCTAAAATGGCATATGAGAATGTCTGTAAAGCAGAGAATTTATCATTATAAAAGATTATAATGAGCAAAGGTTACTCTACGTGATGTAGAAGGGGAGTCGGGTGGCTTGATCTGGCTTAAACAAGTTCTTCATGGTTTTCTCTGTAAGGCCTTATCTGAAACAAACAAATCTTAAAGGGATGCTGGCAGCTATCATGGGAGGCAGGAGCTTCTCCCGACAGCGCAAGTAACTTCTCTTGCCCACCAGCTAACAAAATTCTCCCTGAGACATTTTAGTCCTCATTGCTCAGAGGTTTAGAGATGGGGGTCATTTTTGTATAACTGCTTCTTGCTGAATGATGACTTCATCATATCCCTCCTGAGTTAGAGAAGTAAAACCCTTGTGATGTCAAAACATGGTAGATTTTAGGACCACCTAGGGTAGTCTCTAAAACCATAGTTTGAACATCCTTTGCTGTCATTTTACTGCAGCATATTAAAGCACTTATGATATAAGCATTTATGATATAAATCACAAGTAACATCAGTAAAATGGACATTTTGAATTTGAGTAGCCAAGAAAATACTTATTTAATTCCACATGGTATACAGGAAAACAGTCCAGAGCAGTAGTCATTTATCCTAGTGCTTCTGGGGATATCTGTGAAGGCCAGTACACCTGCATACAACATAAGGCAGTTTGGTTATCAAGTGATACCTTAACTAAGGATCCTACTTGTTAATTAGCTATAGTTTTAAGGGTTTTAGACATATTTCTAATCATGTCTATGGGCTCCTGCCTCCCACAAGGGCAGGAAAATTCTACCAAATATATACCAAAGTCTATCTTCCTGTATTCAGGCATAGAGTTAGAAGGCTATCTCTTAGTTATTGAGAATAATTTTAGAAAGATGACCCAATGCCCAGTTTCTTGGGACTGGTGTTTAGAAACAGTTATGTCCAGGTAGCCCAACAGACAATGTTCCCAGTTCTTCAGACATGTTTATGCCCAGGAGGCTCCTTCAAAATCCTTGCAAACAAACAAGTATTCTAAGATAAGCTTTTAGTCTTAGAGGGAAACTCCGGAAGTAATTCAACCCCTGAGGTTTGGGAAACAAGATGAAAAGAGTCCAGTTTAATTAAACAGATTCTGAATATTTATAACACATAAGAAGTGTGGACTCTTTGTCCCAAATATTGAATCTTCTATAGACCAAACAAAGAGAAAGGTTCATAGACAAAATAAAGGAGATTTCAGGAACTTCCTAATGTTGTCTTTCCTTTAAATAGAGTTTAGTTAAACTGTTGTTGGAAAATGCTATTTTGAATGGTTTGTTGATTAGGCTCATGCCAATTCATAACTTGATATGTGACAAAACTCTAACTTTTCTGTAAAAAAGTTAAGAAAAAACAAGGGGCAGGGTACATGGTATTTTGAGGGATTACCTTTTCTCTTTATTCAGTATGTTACTGTGGGGATCTTTTTATCATATCACCTAGTAAAGTTATGAACTATGAAATAGTTACAGGTCAAATAGAAGATAGGTTTTGAAACCAGATAGGTTATAGATGACATATCCAGCAGTCAAATTTCCTGCCTTATCCAAGGTTCTAGACATCTTAATTATAGAGTTATCTTTTTATACAAATATACAAGTGGAAAAAGTAATAATGTAAACAGAAATCATACTAGTTAGTTCCTAATAGAATGGCAAAATTTAGCTAAGAATAGATAATTATGGCAGTAGTAATATGGATGAAATCATGTAGTCTTCACTATTTAAATTTAGGGCGTTGTCTTCTGAAATACAGTTAGTCAGCCAAACAGACCAACCAGGAGAATAGGACAAAAAGGTCACTCATTGCTTAGCTTTTTTCATGTTTCATGGTCATGTTTCCATCACTGTGACTAAATACCTAGGAAAATTGAGTTGAAGAAGGAAAGATTTATTTTGGCTCACATTTTCAGAGGTTTAAGTTCATAGTTACTTAGCTCTATTATTTTTGGGCCTGTAGTAAGGCAGAACGTTACAATGGGGAGCACATAGTGGATGGAACAAAGCTGCTTATCTCATGGTATCCAGAAGAAGGTTGAGGTGTAAGACAAAATACATCTTTCAAGGACATGCCTCCAGTGATGTACTTTAGACTTGTCTCCTAACATTTCCATCACATCTCTGTTCACTTCCCAATGACTCTTCCTCTGACACTGCTACACTTAGGACCAAGCCTACAACATATGAGGATTTGAAGAACATTTCAGATCTAAACCATGAACATACACTGTACTTATCAGTTCAGTGAGAGTCCCAATCCAGTTCAGTGAGAGTCCCAATCCAGTTCAGTGAGAGTCCCAATCCAGGTTCACATAGAAGATACTCCCTCCCTCACATAAGTCTGCTGGTTCCTGGACCCTTTTTACTCAGTTGTAATGACTCCAAAGAGTTATAAATTGCAATTTAACAATACAGTAAGCAGTGAAATTAACGTTGTCTAATTTGGGTTTTAAGCTTAAGGGGACCTAGACTTCTAGGTTTTTAAATACCCAGTACCTCTGGTTCACAGGGTTAAAGTTTTATCTCTGTAGAAGGAAAATTGAAGTTTGCATATTTTTCAAGGCCAGACATCTCCAGCCCTAGGTTGATTATGTTTCATTGCTACGTAAGTCTATCAGGGTCCATGTCAGAGCTAGCTCCCCCTAGAAAGGATCTTGCGTGTGACATCTGAACTTGAGTTTCCCTTTGTGATGTGAGTCAAAGCTGCAGATAAAAACTTCAACTAGTTTTCTTGAGCTTCTTGGCACAGTTTGCCAAGATAATAGTGAGTGTGTGATTGGCCTTTTCAGCCTTGCCATATGACTGAAATCTCCAACATGTATGTAATCTCATTGTATCTGAAGCATCTGGGGATTTTCAACTGCTATTTGAGACAAAAGTAGGTCCATTGTCACTTTGGATAGACTTAAGTCCAAACCTCAGATGATTTTCTTTAGATGTCTTCTTATAACTTCCACTTTTTCTGTCCTTCAGGAGATACCCTCTGTCACTTAATAAAATTATGCACAGGAAGAGATTTTTAAATCCTCCTGGAACCACTAGCACAAATGTAAAATCCACTTGTGGACCCTCTACTGGGAATATGCGCGTAACTTGCCCCTCCACCCCACCAAGAGAGTATAAGCAGCCTCATTTGAATGTGATTTTGTTGGCAAAAATACACATTGCTGTGTTTAGGGATGATCTTCTTTAAGCCTGGGAGTCTTATTATTCCAGGAAACCAATTGTATAGTCTCTTTTTCCATAATAAGTTAAATTACAGGTATCTTTAATTAC